AAAAAAAAAAAAAAAAAATTTAAGAATAAATATTTTTTTAAAAAAAGATGAAGAAGTAGGTAGTTACTAAGACCTAAAGATTTTATTTTTCTGGTTTATTTTTTATAGATTCAGAAAGTTTGTAATAAGAAACTGTGGGAACGATACACTCACCGGAGAAAAGAAGTTTCTGAAGAAAACCACAATCATGCAAATGAAAGAATGCTATTTCATGGTAAGATTACTTTCCCCCCAACCCTACTACAGTGCTCCTCTACATTAGTATAGGTTTTGTCAGATACAAAATAATAATGCATCTATATTCTTCCTGTCATTTTTATAAATACACCCAATATTTCTCTAACTTTTATACTTACATTTATGTCAAGTTGTTTTGAATTGGTATATTTTATAATGGATTGTTTATAAATAAGATTACTTGATGGAAAAACAGAAATAGGAATGTCAACTATTCATGGTTGTTTTTTTTATTTTTTCCCCCTTTATGTAATGAGTTTTGCCTAATATCACACTGGGAATATATTTTACGCWTTTAACTACTTGATGGAATTAAAATAAAGCCTGGAATCACCTGTAAATAACGTGTGCTGCATCCTCTCTGAGTTAATTTGTCTGTATTTCTGTCAAGTGGAATTTAACATATTTTACTGTCCCTTGATAAAAAGGGATATTGATTTTGATTAATCACTTACCTCTGTTAGTTTAGGTTTTCCCACCCCCATCCTCCCTCCACTCCCTGGCCTGGTTCCCACAACTTTCTCTGGCTGCAGCCCTTTTCTTGGCATACAAAGGAAAAAGTGCTGTGTTTATAGATGAATGTAAATCTTATGTAGCAGATAATGGAAGACAGAGGACAAGAGGTGTAAAGAAGAGAATATGACACAGATTCCTTAGGCCACTTTTGATATCTAGAAAAAATGCAGATAGTAGGCAACATTGTAAAACTTTTTGCATTCAGCTTGCTATACTAGATGAATTATGAGACTTCATTCTGGATTTGCATTCCAGGCTTTATTTAATTTGGGAACTGGAATCTAATAACTCTTGCATTGATATTTCAGGTAATCTGTTTTTCTAGTAAATCTGTCCTTTGGCATCTTAACCACCCACCCTATTGAAAACATTAATTGACATTAGGATTTCGTTATTCTAAAATAAAAGCCTGGAAATCACYTATAAAAAAATGTATGCATCCTGTTCTGAGTAATTTATCTGTATTTCTGTTATGTGAAATTCAGTGTGTTTCTTTGTCCCTTGACAAACAAGGGACACTGATTTTGATTAATCACTGGTTTGATTGAAACAGCTGACAGTTAACTTTTTACTCCTTTTTGTTTTAGCTTTATTGTGCTAGTACTGTGTCGTTACATGTTTAAGGATCTACCTTCTAGGGCTATGTGTATGTATGGCTTAGAGGCAGAGCACTTGGCTAGTATGTGTAAGGCTCTGGCACCAAAAAAAAAAAATAATAATAATAATAATAATAATTAATTAGAAACTTCTAAGAGGCCTTAGCTTTTTCTAAGATAAATTTTCAAATTGTTGTTACCAATTTATGTGTATTTCAGGGTCTCCCTTTGTGAATGCAATTATCCATAAAGGCTTTGATGAAAGGCATGCGTATATAGGTGGCATGTTTGGAGCTGGGATTTATTTTGCTGAAAACTCTTCCAAAAGCAATCAGTATGTATATGGAATTGGAGGAGGTACTGGGTGTCCAGTTCACAAAGATAGATCTTGTTACATTTGCCACAGGTAAGAGACTCACTTGTTGTCATTTATTTTGATAAGAATCAGATAAGAACTGATTACATATTTGGAAAGTTTAGGGGACAAGGCATTATGTCTGACAACTTTAGGTATCTACATGAGATGTATTTTACATTGTTTTGGCCCTCTCACCAATTATAATAATTGATATTACTAAATGACCTGTACAGGCCAAGCATGATTCTCAGCAGTTGACTGGTTTAACTCATTTACTCATTAGGACACCTGATGCTACCACTGAGCTACAACCCCAGTCCTATATATTTATTTTTTATTACAGACTTTGAACTCTAAAAATTTAGTAGTGGGGGCTAGGATGTAGCTTAGTGGTAAAGCTCTTGCCTAGCATGCACAGGCCCTTGGTTTGATTCCCAGCACTGCAAATAATAATCTAATATTCACATGTTAGATGGCATTACTTGGCAAGTTCAGTCATTTTTTGTAATGCTTGAAGAGTCTCCTTTCTACTATAATATGATCCTGGATCCCCAGTTAATAATATTGCTACTGGAAGAGATATAATTAAAACTCACTTGAATTTCACCATACACACTTTGTAATCCCAGCCATTTGGGAGGCTGAGGCAGGACAGTCACAGATTTGAGGCCAGCCTGGGTAATTTAGCAAGACCATATTTCAAAATTAAAAAATAAAAAGGGATGGGGATGTCACTTGGTGGTAGAGTGCCCTTGATTCAAACCCCAGTAATGCAAAATTACACCAAGGTGAAAAGCTGCAGTCCTGGAGAGAAACAAGCTAGTGGCAGTATATTTGTTTTATTCTTGTTGTTATTTTCCCCCTAAATGTAYAGAGGGATTCATGTTCATGACCTCCCACCCCTTCTATTTTAGATCATAAATTGGACTGTTTAGGAAACTTGTAATTTCCCAGGATCCTATAAGCTGAATGCTGTTTTTACTTGTTATATATAGTCTGGAGGCTAAATAGTTCTGATTACTAGTAGTAAGCAATGTTATAGTGAGTACATCACCATTTAAAATGTTTGATTGTCTGGAAATAAATGTATCCCAAAAGCAATAAAGTGAATAAACTAGATTTGTGGCCAAAACTCAAAAAAGTTGAGTAAGAAAAGCAGTACACAAGCTGGGCACAGTGGCACATGCCTGCAACTTAGCAGGACCGTGTCTCAAAATAAAAAATTTGTGTTTTTACTGGAATAAAGATAAAATGGTAGTTACTCCATTTTTCAGTCTTGTAGTTAAAATAAGAATTAACTAAATGGACAGATTTCTTTCACTAGTAAGAGCAGTAGAAGTTGGGACAGTGGCACACACCTGTAATCCCAGCATCTCAGGAGGCTGAGGCAGCAACTTAATGAAGCCCTAATGCACTTAGTGAATTTCTGTCTCAAAATAAAAAATTAAATGGGCTGGGGATGTAGTTCAGTGTTCAGGTGCCTCTGGGTTCAATACCCAGTACCAAAAAAAAAAAAAAAAAGGTAGTAGAAGATAATTTTACAAAATTCTTTCTAGATAAAATGATAAAAACAGGTATTTAGCAGTTGGGATGTAGCTCAGTGGTAAAACTCTTGCCTACCTGTCTCAAGGACCTGAGTTCAGGGGCTGGGGATGTGGCTCAAGCGGTAGTGCGCTCGCCTGGCATGCTTGCGGCCCGAGTTCGATCCTCAGCACCACATACCAACAAAGATGTTGTGTCTGCCAATAACTAAAAAAATAAATATTAAAAAAAAAAAAAAAAAAAAGGACCTGAGTTCTATCCATAGCAGAGCAWAGCAAACAGTTGTGTTTATATGTAAATGGATTTTTTAGTATAGACACACATACAAAAAAATTGTTATGTTGGTGTATGAATTTTGTCTCCAGGCTGATCTTTTCCTTTTTATGTTATAGGCAGCTGCTCTTTTGTCGGGTAACCTTGGGAAAGTCTTTTCTGCAGTTCAGTGCAATGAAGATGGCACATTCTCCTCCAGGTCATCACTCAGTCACTGGTCGGCCCAGTGTAAATGGCCTAGCATTAGCTGAATATGTCATTTATAGAGGAGAACAGGTAATTCCATTTTATTTGTTCATTTTCAAAAGTGTGACTTTTCAACTTCTTACTAATCTCTTAATCTTACCATCTCTTATACTGACAAACATACTTCTTTGAGAACTAGATTCTTTTGAAATTTTTATTTGGGAATAATTACAGGCTTGAGAAGTTACACATAAGAACTAACTACTGTGTTTTTTCTTTCTAACCAAAATTCTGCTTTCAGTAAGTTAAATCTAGGGCTGGAGATATAGCTCAATTGATAAGAGTGCTTACCTTGTATGCACAAAGCCCTGGATTCAATCCCCAGACCCACAAAAAAAAAAAAAAAAAAAAAAAGTCTATCTGTAGCTCAGAAGTATATAATCTTTTTCCTGCTCTGAGTGAAAACTTGTTCTAGAACAGCATTCTCAGTAGGGGATAGGTATTGGAATCACTTCAGTTAATAAAAACAAGCATGTAGTTAATATTAACTTAGACCTGCTGATTGAGAATTTAAGGGATGATTAACTGGAGTTAAGGTTAGGATGTTTTTTGAGAAAGGGCCCTAGATGATTCTGATCTGTAAGGCTAATTTAGGACCTCCTCCCTAAAGATTAGGAATCCTTAAGGAAGTTCTCTTTATCTTTCAAAAAGTTTTGTTTATCTATATTTGAATTAATCTTTCTCTTCTAGGCTTATCCTGAATATTTAATTACCTACCAGATTGTGAGGCCTGAAGGTATGGTTGATGGATAAATAGTTGTTTGAGGAAGGAAACTAATTCACCTAAACCTAAAATCACCGAAGCAGCTGGTGGCCTCTAAGTTTTTTTCCTTTGCTGGAAAAATTCATCTTGCTTCCAGGCCTATGGCAAAAGGATAAAAAATGTGAAAGAAGTTTAACATTCTGACTTGATAAAGCTTTAATAATGTACAGTGTTTTCTAAATATTTCCTGTTTTTCAGCACTTTAACAGATGCCATTCCAGTTTAAACTGGGTTTGTCTGTACCGAATTATAAACAGTTAACTTGAACCTTTTATACGTTATGCATTGATTCTAACAGAAACTGTAATGCCCTCAACAGAACTCATTTTACTAATACAGTACTGTGTTCTTTAAAACACAGCATTTACACTGAATACAATTTCATTTGTAAAACTGTAAATAAGAGCTTTTGTACTAGCCCAATATTTATTTACATTGCTTTGTAATATAAATCTACTGTTTTAGAACTACAGCGGTTTACAAAATTTTTCATATGTATTGCTCATCTGTACTTCATCTTGCATTATACTSATTGAGTGATCTTTATGTTTGATTGCAGAGGCTATGTTGAGTTGTTAGTAGAAACTTAGCTGGCAAAGATTAATTTATCAGATTTAATTTACTGATGAAAGAATTTCTCTCTCATTAGAAATCTTTCTCACTTAAGAACATTATGAATACTCTGGGGATTTAATTTGTGATGCCTTTGTATGTATTAGACACACATTCCAAAGAGCTCTTAACTATGATAGGTCCTGGTTATTAAAGAAGCTTCTTTTCTGGCCTCAAACTCTAGGTTTTACTTAGGAAATTTTTCCAGTGTCATTCTGTGACAATTAGAGCAAATGCTTCTGTTTTTGTAGAGAGGTTAAATCCTAACTTTTGAACAATTATGGTATTCTTTTTATGGAATGTAAATAGGAAATTAAATTTCAGAGTTGGAAAAAAGCAATCCTGGATAATTGCCTGATTGGTTCTAATTACCTTAAATCTAAAGGGAGGAGGATAGCAAATAGGAGTGGGTAATTTTTTTATCCTAAGTGTTGTTTGTTTATGCTCTTTTTTTTTTAATCTTATTGTTATATTTATAGCCAATCTATACATCATGGGTAAACTGAACCCAGAACCATGAATGTAAATGTCTCAGTCTTTCCTTGGCCCCTGAATGGGCAAGTGCATTGAGACAGGTACTTTCTGATCCTGGGTTGCCTCTACATAACACAGTGCTTAATTGGAAATATGCTTTCATTTGTGCACCATGTGGTGACCAAACTTGTGTCCAGTTTGGCAGCTGTGGAGGGAATTGTTGTTCCGTAAAATGCCATTCCTATTTTCAGAAGTGAAACTATCTTTTCTACAAAGCATACTTGGGCATCCTGGTATAGAAACATGCATAATGGCTTGGCATTCTATTTTACCTGTTCTAGCTCCCTCAGAAGTCAAGGAAAGATTTTTATCCACCTAAGTCCTTATCAATGAGGACGTTCCATTCACTCTCTGTGTCAATTCACCTTTGTTTTACCTTTTATTCAGTCTCTAAATTAACTGACCTTTTCAGTAACCTGTATATAAAGTGCTAGAAAGTCATGTTTCTTGTTCTGAATAAGAGTCAAAGTAAATGCATTTGTGGAGTTGTCTCTATGATATAAATTGTGATCATTAGTTAAGARGTCAAATCTTGACCTTGAAATGCTTTTATACAGCTCTCTACTAATTGCAAATATGATCCTAAAGTCATTTCTAAGAATACAAATGGAGTATGCCAAATTTTATACACATTTTTCAGGTTCTCTAGGYCTCTAGGTTTTATAATTAGAGAATAATGAGATGAATTAATGGATTTATATTTACATATCTTGTTATCAACATTTAGGCCATATCACTCACCCTTTGAGTAATTTTGGATTTGTGTGTCATGTAAACCATTGTGGTCTATAAGTTTACAATATTGTRAACTGTGTTATTTCATCTAATCCATTGCTTACTTAGTGTGTTTTTCCATGAATGATTATATTGTGGTTAATATGTTAGCATGGCAATATTTTCAGGTAGCTTTTTGTTTATTGGGAGATTGGGATTTGGGRGGAATTTTTTAGTGCTTTGCATGAAATATCTTACTTTTAAAATGATGGAATTGCTTTCTCTTTTTTCTTGTGATTTTTTTTTAAGTGAGATTTAATTTTTTTGTGTGAGTAGTAATATTATACCCATCTTGAGTGTCTTGTACTGTATCACATTCCATACCCCCTCATTAATTCTTAATAAACTGTTCACTTGTTTTACTGGGTAGCATGTTAATTACTGGTGTAGTATAAACGTGTTGAATGGTCTTTGAGAAAATGGATTGAGATTATAACAACCACAAATAGAAGGCAACGTGTAGTTCTAAGTAATAGTGATGAAGAGTACAGTTTAAAGTCTAAAATATTGAATGTTGTGGCCATGTGTACTCAGATACATTAAGACTAAAATAGCTATGGGCTGGGGTATAGCTCATTGGTAGAGCACTTGCCTAGCATGTGYAAGACCCTGAGTTTAATGCAGATGCTTTTAGACATTTAGACCATCCAACACAACTTTCAGTTAAACCTTAAAGCTCATTCCTGGAAATCAGTCTTTTTAACTTATAAAAAGGAATATATTTTTGTTTTCTATGCCATATAAAAACATTACTGGTAAGCTTCTAAATCTCAAAGTTAGTGGTATTTTTTTCTCTTAAAAGAAAGTATAATAGTGTTATGTATTTTATATTTCAATATGCTAAGTGACCGTGTGTGTGATCAATTCTTTGCTGTCCATAATAAGAGAATGATGGTGCAAATAATTCTTAAGTCTGGCTTTGAAATACATTTCAGCAGCTTTATCTTTTATCTTCCTGCTTCATTTAAGATAATATTGAAATGTTTACTATTTCCTAAGCATGCATGCCAATGTATGATGTGATCCAATTGTTTGCAGGTTAATGAAGCAAGAAAACATGCAAATAAATTTCCCGAAGCTCTTATGATTAGTACTCCTGACTGTGCCTTTACCTACTGTCCTGTCCTATTAGAGGACTGGAGTGACAGAGGAAGCAAGTAGGAGAAATAGTACTAAGCAACTAGGAGAACTGTCAGATTTCTATAAAGTTAGATTGTAACATGGCCTTTTTCTGTCTTCTGAGTCCCACTACACCACATTATGCTTCCTAGAACAGGCAGGCTGTGGCCTAAAATATTTATACTCAAGAAGTTTTTTTGTTCACAGTATAAGACACCATTATTAGAAATGTCTTTGTCACTCATTCACTTCGTCATCCACTCACAGTCATCCTCCCCATGACACAGATATACCCAGCTCCCAAAATAGCCAACATAATAATGTTGATCATTGCTATACAAAAGTGTAGTCTGCCGATGGGTATGGGTCTGCAAACTCTTTATTACCTGCCCTTGGAGAGAGGCGAATATAAAAAGTAAGGACAGGGCTGGGGGTGTAGCTCAGTGTAGTATACAATGAAAGCGCTGAGTTTGATCCTCAACATCACAAAAAAAGCGGGGAGGAAATAAACTTTTTAAATAACTTGATGTTCCTGCAATATATTTATTTAATATTTACAAAAATATTGGTCTGTAGCAGATAAGAAATTAAGAAAAAATTCTTCGCAAATCATTTGAAAGGTTTCACAACGCTATCTGTTTTGTATATCAATGGAACTAACACCTAGCAGTCTGTCATATAGTATCTCAGTAAATTTTTTGTTGAGTGAGTGAACAAATAGTGATTAAGTGATTGGTTGGTCAGATGGATCTGAATTTGAATTCCTACTCCTTGCCAACTGTGCAATCTTGATCTCAAATAAATTACATAATCTTTATAAGTTTGATTGTGCTTATTACCTCAGGGTTATTTYGAGAACTAAATGATCATTCATATATACCACTAAGCTTTGTACTTGGCAGTTAACTATTTATCATACTTAACATTTCACTGAACACTCAGGACTAGGCTTCAGTTTTCCCAGTTGTCAGAAATTTTAAAACTTTTAACCACTAGTCCCTTTGTTCTAATGAAATCTTAAGAGGGCCAAATATAAATCCCTAGTTGCTGAGAACCTGACAACCTAGTTGGACAAGGAAAACATACCCAAACCCAAGTTGCATGTCTTCCTAGAGTAAAAACAAGCCCCACAGACACTGTCATCCAAAATTCACAGCAGTTCATTTGGAACACAAGTCAATAGACACAATATTGGAAGGTTGGCATCCCACAAAGTAGCATAATAACTATGGAATAATAATTTTTTAAAATATTTTGTTGTTGTAGGTGGACACAATACATTCATTTTATTTATGTGTGGTGCTGAGGATTGAGTCCAGCACCTCACATGTGCTAGAWAAGCGCTCCACTGCTGAGCTACAACTCCAATCCCAGAATAGTTATGTTTTTAAGTGATGGTGGGCCAGGGTAAAAGGAATAGGAACCATTAGACCAGGTATGGTGGCAAACACCTGTAATTCCAGCTACTTGAGAGWCTGAGGCAGGAGGACTGCAAATTTAAGGACAGCCTGGATGACTAAATAAGACCTTGTCTCAAAAAATTAAAAGGGATGTAGCTCAGTGGTAAAACGCCCCTGTGTTTAATCCCCAGCACCACAAGGGAAAAAARAAAAGAAAAACAAGTAGAAACAATGAACACAAAAATGGCATTTAAAGGAAATAAAATAGACAAGATAATCAAAAAATAAATTTACGATGTAAAATATTAAAATGGGTTGGGCTTTGTGGCACACTCCTGTAATCCCAATGGCTTGGGAGGCTGGGGCAAGAGGATCACAGGTTCAGCACCAGTTTAGGAAATCTAGCAAGACCCTATCTCTGTAACCACAAGTATAGAGAAAATTTTAAAGAACTTTGAAGGATTTGCTCTGCTCTGTACCAGTAAATTTGGAAATGTACCTTAGATAAATCCTAGGGTAGTATTTTAGTAAAGCATAAATTATCAGAACTAACCCTAGAAAARAGCAAAATAAACCAGATGCCAAGGAAGAAATAGAGAGATGCTATCAAAAAATGGTCCCAAACAATTCCTGGAAGAGTTATATAAGTAAATTCTGACAGCCCATTAAGTAATGAGCACATAGTTTTTATGTTCAACTGTTCTAGAGTGGAAAAAAACAACTTCCAATTTTGGCAGGGTGAGGGTACTGGGGATTGAACTCAGAACACTCAACCATTGAGCCATATCCCCAGCCTTCTTTCCTATTTTATTTAGAGATAGGCTCTCACTGAGTTATTTATCACCTTGCTTTTGCTGAGGCTGGCTTTGAACTTGCGATCCTCCTGCCTCAGCCTCCTGAGCCACAAGCCTCCAATTTTTAAAGTACAGCAATAGGGTAATACTAAAAGAATGGCTGTTAATGCACAATTCTTTAAAATATCTGCAAACAAAATCTAGTAGAACCTTAAAAAAACAACACCAGCAGGAAGAGAAACCACAAATGAGCATAATAGAATTGGGAAATGATGGAAGTGTTAAGCCTCTTTTTAAATTTGTTTTTGTGGTACTGGAGATTGAACCTAGGACTTCCTGCTTGATAAGGTAAACGCTCTATCATAGAGTTACATCTCCAACCCTTACAACTGCTTCTTATTTGTAAGTAGGAAGGCTACTGTACTTGGCAGTTAACTATTTATCATACTTAACATTTCACTGAACACTSAGGACTAGGTTTCAGTTTTTCCAGTTGTCAGGAATTTTAAAACTTTTAACCACTAGTCCTTTTGTTCTAATGAAATCTTAAGAGAGCCAAACATAAATCATTTTTTTAATTAACTTTATACTCACCCATCTTATGAATATTTTTGGTGTTCCCACAATTTTTCATTATTTTTTTTTAAATACTTGTGCTCAATGGTGCATACCTACAACCCCAGGAACTCAGTAAGTTGAGGCAGGAAGATTATGAGTTCAAAGCTAGCCTCAGCAACTTAGTGAAGCCMTAAGCAACTTAGTGAGACCTGCCTCAAAATAAAACAAAAAGGGCTGGGGATGTGGTTCTATGGTTAAGCGCTCCTGGGATCAACCCCTGGTACCAAAACAGATTGATAGACCAGTGGTACAGAATAGAGGACACAGAGGCTAACCCACAAAATTACAACTATTTTATATTAGACAAAGGTGCCAAAAGCATGTACTGGAGAAAGGATAGTATCTTCAACAAAGGGTGCTGGGAAAACTGGAAATCCATATGCAACAAAATGAAACTGAATCCCTATCTCTCACCATGCACAAAAGTTAACTCAAAATGGATCAAGGACCTAGGAATTAGACCAGAGACTCTGCATCTAATAGAAGAAAAAGTAGGCCCTAATCTTCCCCATGTGGTAGATTAGGCCCCAACTTCCTTAATAAGACTCCTATAGCATAAGAATTAAAACCAAGAATCAACAAATGGGATGGATTCAAACTAAAAWGTTTCTTAGCAAAAGAAATAATCTGTGAGGTGAATAGAGAGCCTACATCCTGGGAATAAATTTTTACCCCTCACACATCAGACAGAGCTCTAATCTCTAGGGTATATAAAGAACTCAACAAGATAAGCACCAAAAAAAACCATAATCCAATCAATAAATGGGTCAAGGACCTGAA